AACAGTCTAGCAGTTGAACTCCTGATCCTCAGTCGTTAGGTCCCTTAACAGCTTCCAAATTGATTGCATGATCCCAAGGTTTTTGTTCTGGTAGACATTCAGCTGTATTTTTGTTAAATACAGAAAGAAAAGTGTTTAAATATTCTGGGATGTTACTAGCAATGGTTTTGATTGCTCATAGAAGTTGATCCCAACAAAAACACATTTGTCCTGTGATCCAATCAATTAAGGGGTTGAAGCATTTGAACCATGAAAGTCCTAGGATGATCAGATTTCTATCCAGTACTGTAGCATAGGCTTCTATTCTCATTGGTTGTCCAGATAGAGATATAGTTAGGAAGACTTTGTGTTTGATGGCTGCAGCTTTGTTTGGTGAACTGTTGATGTTAAACACTGGTCTAGGTGTGATACTCTGGTGTTGGAGACCATGGTCTTGGGCAAACTGGATATTGATATAATTCAATGCCTCAGTTGTGACAGTTTTGACGTGGGTTTTTAATATGCAAGGCAAATAAATAGATTTATGAGCTAATCTCACCTGATATAAATATTCCCTAGTGCTATTACCTCAACTTGATGTCATGGCAGTCAAAGATCTTAAAAATCCTTCTCTCTGGGATGAATAGCTTGAATATATTCTTCAGCTATCCCTTCTTTATCAGACAAATCCTTGGTTTCATCCTTATCCTGAGTGGATATGTCATGAGATTCAATCACCCTGATGCAATTGTTTGGATATTGACAACTCTGGTGCCCTGGTTTGTGACACCTGAAACAGAGCTTCTTCTCCATATGCTCTTAGTGATCTTTATCTGACAGACATTGGATCCGCTGATCATTAGTTGATGCTTCCTTTGAAGATCCATCCCTGGTTTCAATTGCACAGTTGCAATGTACAAATTTGTTGCAACTGAAGGAGCAACTGGATGAAGGCATGAATAGAGGTTTATCACTGAAGATATCAATCATAGATTAACAGATGGACTGAATGCTGTTGAGATACCCTACAGCTGTAGTCGGCAATGGAGGTTGAGTGGCGATCTTGATTAGGAGAGCAGGAGAGATGAGACATTGGATTTCCCGAATTTTTCCTAATTTATTTAATCTGCTAGCCTATAACAAGGGTCAAAGAGTTGTGACAAATCAAAGACCATTTCCACTACATTTTGTCCATGTACATTTGCTGATTTTGTTTAATGCTGCCTGGGTGTCATTCTCTACTCCAAAAGTCTGGATAAAGGACTTCTTGAATTCTGCCCAGGTAGGAAGTCCTTTCAATAGTGCATCCTCAGAGTCAGAGATAAGTTCTTCTGCATCAGTAATAATTGTATGGATAAAGAATTGAGCCAGCCCTTTGATGTAGGATAATGCACACTGGACTCTGTCCCTATCAGATTGAATCTTCTTAGAATTCCCTAGGAAGTACAGGTATAGTTTGTCCAGGAATTCCTTGCTCTTCCCCTTATCTCCTTCAAATTGGTTGGGTTTTTTTACTGCTCCACTATTGTTGTCTGACATGTCGTCTTCATCTTCCTGGTTACTAGGTTCTGGCTCGCTGTTGTCTGGGTTATTCAGGTGTCTGTTGGCTGGATCCTCTTCTGGATCAGGATCAACTGGAGATCCAGGTAATTCTGGTTTGGCTTCTGTTGGAACAGGGACTGGGTGTTGTTCTGTGGGAATTGGTGGGTTGATTGGTTCAGGAGAATCAAAGATTCCTGCAAAGAAACTAGGTCTGACTGTGGGACTGTTGCTCACTGATTTGCTTGGTAGAGGTTTGGTGGTTAACTGAAGTGGTGAAGTACGAGGTGTGGGAGCTACTACACTTCTGCTAGATGATGCTGCAGTGGGAGTGAGGTATGATGGTGTAGAGGAGGGTTTCTCCACTAGTGGGGGTACTACTGAATAAAGGTCATCCTTACTTCTGATAGGAATAAGATTTCCTGTCTGATTAGGAATAGTCTTATCTCTTTTCCTATTTGAACAAGTTGAATCTGAGCAATACTACCAAGAGGATCTATCAAACCACTGATTGGTTCTCTTGTTCTTGTTGTATGCATATATCTTATTGTAGCAAAGGAGTTGCCTTGCTTGGGACCTGGTTACTGCTGGTTGTCCTGCTGTTGTAGCCACTGTGAT